GTGAAAAACCGTTCCCATTATGTTAGATGTCTAAAATGTGCTACATTCCAAACAGTTGACAACAATATAATCCTTCTTACGCCATTTTATCTTTTTAAAAAGACGAAAAAGACAAGAAAACATCACTAATCCATAGCGTAAAACATTCTCGAATCTTCGGAAACATCATTAACCTTCTACTCCATTTCAAGGACTTCTGCAACGTTTGCAGTTGTTTCGATCAAGAAATACCTGGAATGATCTTCAGCTATTTTAAAGCATTTACTGGTTACAGTCTGGTTACGTTACAATCGTCGAAAACTTGTTGAAGCATGTAACACTTTTATTAAGTTTCCAACAAAATTTAATGCAAAAACATTGTTCTTCCATGTCATCCATTTTCAAGTGTAATAAAATCACTGCAATAAATGTGAAGTCGGGGAAAAGGAAGTTTGCCTAAGGTGAATCGGATACTGTAATCCCCATCTATTGTCATCTATCATCCGTTCAGCTAACAAAGGATATGCCCAGTATCACTAGGTAAGAAAAATAATAAGTAACGTGAAACATTTTCATTTTCTGTACAGTGATTTGGATAGAATCTCATATCGATAATTCTGAGAGATCAGATTTAACTCATGTGCCCATGACCGTAAATGCACATTTTTAAGAAGATCCTAAATGCAACTTCACATCGTTGAACAAACGAAGGTGAAGGTGCAACTGGACAATTTAAATTCCGAATTAATTAAAAATTGCTGCTAATTCTGGTGTCAAATGTGGCCATGTTGGTTCAACAAATGCGCTCCCATCTAATTAATATTTTTATATGATTTAAAAATGTTTAATGCAAAGAACAGGAGGACACAATGAACAGGAGGAAACTGGTAAACACGATGAACAGGAGGAAACTGGTAATAAGACATGACAATATAATTTACAAGAGATAAAACTAATTGTGTAACGTATGCATAGAAAAACACGCTTGCATTTCATGACTAGGGGAATAAACATAAATTAAGCACATTTCTATTTATCTAGAAATCTTCAGTTAACAAACCAGTTTACTCATCATATTCGTAGTCAACTTCTTCAAATTAAAGAAGATTGGTTTCTTTTATTCCAATACACTTTGGATTTGTTTAATCTTTTTGAATTTACTAACTTCAGAAACATAGTCATTTACATTTTTAAGAATAATTTTGAATAAACTAGCAAAATAAACACCATTTTTACATAACGATTTACGAATATACAATGAGCAAAATAAGATGTTCGAAAAATTTATATGAAATTTCAAATGGTGGTAATGTATGGTTATTTTAACCGTATAATAAAGAGCTTAAGTGAAAAAAAGAGCAAAAAATTTCGTTTGCGGTTTTCCTTTTTTTTAAAATCTAATTAAATAATGTCTACATCCTTATTTTTTTTCCATCTTGAAGCAAAGCAAATTTTCCTCTAAATTTCCATGCATTTATTTAAGATTCTTGCTTGCTAGGAAGAAGGTGTCGGTTCGTTTCATTTACTGCAAGAGCTTTACTGCTTTTTCACGACGCTGCGATGGATGGACCGAGGGCAATAAAAATCGCGTTTTGGGGACTTAGTCCTTCTTTGCTCCATTAATGACCCTAATCAGTTTTGGGCAATGAACAGAACTTCGTTGCAGGAATTTCCAACGACCTGATTTAACCACTTTTACGTGGTACACTTAGGCAAGAAAGTATTTTTCCCAGTCCCCTCTCCCCTCTCTCTTTTTTCTACCGCCTTATCCTATGAGCGGAAGAAAATAGTTCTATGGTGTGTTCTGAAGCATTCCGACAGCCTTTACGAAAGAAACTTCGGTGTGTATGTTTTTTCCTCTTTCCTCAATCTGGTATTACGAATGAACCAAAGGAGTGTAACAGCTAATGAAATTTTCCAGGGAAGGCCAATAGGATTGTTGTGATTTATTAGAAAAGTTAGAACGGATGATATTATATCTATATCTATATCTGTATCTATATATATAGGTCAGAAAATAAGTTCAGATAATAAAATCTAATTGGCTTTTCATTTCAGGTTTCATGTACTTCATTACAAACTTATTAGTGCAAACTCATTAGTGCTATATAAATTGTATAACTTAATACATAGGGAAATTTACATTACAGTTACTTAATTCGTTAACAAGCTAAAATATTATAATTTACTATTGTCTAATTTTAGAGTTTTCTTTATCAGAAAATCTCAAGTTGTATTGAAACTACTTTTCTTTATGCGAAAATAAAAAGTGTCATGAAATAGTGAATTGCAAAATTGCTTTCAATCTGTATCATAATCTCATCAATGAAATAAATAGATATGAGATTGAGCATTAATAAGTTACGGATGAACGGGTTAATTGCAAAGAGTTTTTATAGTCTTTCTTAAGTATAACGGGAACATGAGTCAATTTTCCTTGGAATGTCTTTCAACATGAATCCATCTTCTTGTCCACTCCTCAGCATCTCAAATAAATTTCACTTTCTATACTATCAGCAGTGAAACAACTAACCAGTTTATATGAGTCATCGTTGGTACACCCAGACGTTTTTCTTTAGTTATTTATTTAATTGCAAAGTATTTTTGGCCCAAAGGGCGTTAGCCCAGAAGGGGTCTTAGTTTCGTTTTGGCATTTTGCGTTGAAAAGTTTAAATGTCGGTTTACTTGTCAAATTGTAGCCACCAAATATTATCGCCCTGTATTATAGTTAATGAAATTAAATAATAAAAAATTTGCATAAATATATTTATGTGTTTTCGCATTCTGATAAAACTACGGTACCTAGAGTCATCAAATTTTTAATAACGAAATCTTCCACCAAATATGGGCATTTGGAAGCCCTAATTTGAAATTTGAAATTAGTTTTGCTATTGATTTCCCATTTTGTAACACTTTGACGAATTTTTGACTAAGAAACTCAACGATTTCAAAGCAAGCAATGACAAAACTGCGCGAAAAGAAAAACATTTATCTCCAGCGAGCGACTGTGTATCAGAAATTCTAAATATATGATCATTTTAAAATTATTTTGCGATATTGCTATTGAATTGAATTTTATGGTTTGCAAAGAAAGCGCAAAGAACAATTATTAAATAAAGGTAACGCACAAAAGGTTAAAAAACTCCCTTTCGGCGTGAAATCTGAATGCTTTCAGATTTTTCTCTCTTTTTTTTTAAATATTTTCATTTTCGTATTTTTGATATTGTTACTTTACTACCTTAATAGTCTCATCAATAATTCTTAAGGAATATGCATACATTTTCCCGAATTCCATGCTTAAAAAGCCACAAATTGTTTTCCTCTAAATGCCATTTATGAAAAGCGAGTGATAACGGAGATCCATCCTAAATATATAGCCTAGATATATAACCGAGCATATCCCAGAAATTATCCCAGAAATCGAAGATGCCAAGGGCATCTTCGACGTGTAGGATATACCTCATTTTATTTTTAGTGACAATTAACAGTTAATTACAGAATCTGTCATCACATCTTTCTAACGCTTAGATCTTCGTATATATTAGATCAGCACTTTGCAATATTGACATGCAAGCATTTACGTAAAATTGTTTAAAGATATTTTAATGAAGGCAAATCTATTAGTAACTTTGCATTTTAATTAACATTCTGAACATTTCAAAACATCTTTATTTCATAGTCAAAATATTGTTTTTAAACTTCATACATATTTTTCCTCTATGTACGTCTCCATAATTATTATATATTTATCATGCGAATGACAATTCTATTATTGAACTAAACTGTAAACTCGAATGAAGTTGAGTAAGGGAATGTTATTCAAATATTTTCGTTTTGTTTAAGTAATGAAGTGCATTCTTATCTAAATATTTTAATTACATTTTCAATTTAATTAGATGTTAAGATAAATCAAATTACAATAAAGTGTGGATAAACTGTTGGGTTATAAAATTTATATACTATTCTTGGCACATTTAATTATTACTGTAAGAAGTATTAATTTTCAAGAAGGATTGTAATTTTGTGTAACAAAACAATATCTTCAGTTTTCTAACACATAATCCCAATAACGTATTTAAAAACATTAAAACTATTATTATTAATATATTTCTTTTACCTCTATATACTGGTATTTCACTTTTCACAAACACATCTTAAAAAGAAAAGACAATACTTTTTTCAGATTTCCATATTTCTGAGTACACTTTTGTACATAAATTGCATTTCTTAGAGCTTTATGCAACAAAAACCCTTCACACCATAAAGATATCCTTTGAGACATTGAAACGCATAGTGTAATTACTGTCGAATAGATACCAGTTAGTCAGTTTATAATATCAAGTGCTCCTCTGGACACTGTTTAATTGTGCCATCTTATACGTTTTAGAATTTCAAACAGTTATTCTACGAAAAACGTCTTATTATTATACAAAACTCTGTATAAATATTAATAGTTTCACTTATCAGCATTATGTAATGGAAGGGGTTTGATGCATTCAGTTATGACACTATAATTATTAGTTAAATTTAGAAACACGGATGATACTCATACTATGCATTAGCGCAAGCTCGCTTCTGTGATTTTATGCATTAGCATCTTAGAAAATTTAGTTTGCTTAGTTGAAGTACTCAAATTTTTTTTATGCATCTTAGCTAATATGGGAATTCATAGAATGTAAAAAAGATGGTTAAAATAAGGCAATTCTCATACATTCCTTTTCAGTAAATATTGCAAAGGAATTTCTGCATTTTAAAGAAAAATTGACTACGTATATTAAATTTAAGCCTCGAAACTTGCTAGCTTATCTCGAAAAAAATTCATTATTTTAAGACCTTTGCTATAGAACATGAATAATTTAGATAAACAGTGTGATGAATTGTCTGCATAAAAGAATATATGAAAATTTAACCTTTAAGGTACACAAGTATTTAAAGTTTTCAACTGTATTACCCTTTATCATAAAACATAATTGTCTCAACTTAATCTCCGAATAAAAGAAGACTAAGTTATTCAACATTACCATGACTCAGATTCTCCATTATATGCAATCCTGAACTTTGTTGTCTAAAAACCAGCTCCTCGTTACTCATAGTGTAAACTCTGGAAATAGTGGCAGTACACTTCAGTTTCATGTTTCCTCCTCTGAAATGCATTTCGTTCACAACAAACCTCAAACTGAGACTTGATGATTCTAGACCATCCGAGTTTATTACTGTAGAATGCTCCATTTCATAATTTGTCTGAAATGAGTTTTAAAGAAATTTAGAAATTACATATACATTTAATACTATATATATAGTGATCTGTACACATTTTATATTAATGACTTCAGGTAATAGTTTGAAAATAAATTCCCTTTATTCATATAATTAAATGAATCATAGGCTTAAAATGTCTGAAATCACTTCTATACAGGAAATAGTGCTTTAATTCTCTCTGAACAAATTTAAATGATATTTTTCTTCTACAGATGGAATAGTGGCTCTTAATTTATTTTCCCTATTTTAATGTATTATCTAAAATCCCCAGCTTAATTTCGTAATACATCATCGAATAGAAGTGAATGTCAATGCACTCTGGATGTTTTTTCCATATATTATATCCATAGAAACATGTCTTATCACGAAATTAATTATTTAACCAAAGGTCAATGGATTTCACAAAATTTTCATTATATATTATATCGATAAAATTAGAATTTAAAATATGCATCACAAAAATCATTACTTCAAGCCATGCTTTAACCTCAGGAATTGGCTACTTTACTGAGGCCATCGAAATAATTTCAAGAGAATGTATCTAAATTTACGGATCTTTTTTTTTTCCGTCTCTACAAAATTTTCTAGTAATCTATATATGTATATCTAATTTACACACATCGAATTCTTTTACAAAATTTACAAAGTAAATTCTAGCCCTTAGAATTACCTTCAGATGATTTAAAGCAAACCGATTGAATACAATTTTATTTCAGTGCATTTTTATTCAGAGGACTCAATCAAATCCCAATCAAGGGAATATTTGCATTACGGAAATTATGCAACCTTTTAGTTCATGAAATCAATAAAATTGCCTATGCTTACACAAATTTCGAAACATTAGTAATATACATATATACTAGGTGGTTATAATAAGTACAAATATTGTACAACGTAGTTATAATTAAAGTGCTTATATCTTAGACCTATGCAGAACTCTTTATGTTTAACGTATTTCCCTGAAACCTTATTTATATTTTACATGGGCCATGGGGGAAAGGAAACTGCAATATGAAATAATGGTTCGACTTTAGTCCATTAGGTGGTGAAATGCAATGCAGAAAATACGTTATTCAAATTAGAAATTCTTTAAAATGTCAACAGTCAATGCTGTAAAATCATTCTTCGCCATGCCTTTAAGGAAGAAAGACCAAGGCTTAGTGATCCAGTTGCTTTATCAGAACTTGCAGTTATAAGTTATCTGAACTGAGAGAACATCAGAGTTTGAAAAATTTGAGAAAAGATCATATGTCGAAGAATGATTTGAAAAAGAGATTTATTAAATTAAATTAAAGAGACTAATAGGCTAGTCTGCCAGGAATAATACAGAAACAAACTGCGTATGAAACTGCAAAAGAAATCATTGTTGCATTGAATAGCAAAGCATCATGTTCCCGATGTATTTCGACAAGCACTCAAACGGTGTCACGCGATTTGGGATTTCACTTTGTCTACGGTACGAAATTCTCTGCGAACTATTAAAGCTGTAATCATACAAGATCCACATAGTGCAGAAGCTGCATCCTCAAGACCGCATCAATGCAATGAGTGCTTGCTTGAATTTCGGACAATGATCTTTCATCGTTCCTGACCAGTATGAGTCTTTATTTTTTACGAGGTTGCTAAATTCAGCTTTAAGATCGTGCTTTGGTAGAAAGAATCTGCGGAACTTTCAGCATCGTACAAAACGTGTCATGTAATTAGTGCAGCATACTACTGCACAAGCCCCACGTCACGTCAAGGAAAGACTATGGAGCGAAAAATCAGTTAAACTAACAAGCTGAGACTCAAAATTATGCACAGTCTGTTGTATAACATGCTCATTGGTTTTGTTTCTTATGAGATACGCTGTTATGTGATTTAGGCATCTGTTTTTATAAAACCAAAGTATAATGAATGAATCGCAGGCCCTATAAGTCTCCCTCACACACTCGCGATTCAGCATTTACGAATGGGTTCTTTCCTAGGTTTAAATTAGTCATTAATACGATTCTGAAACCACATTTAACACGCCGCATAGTGCAGCAAGTTTTAATGCTGTAGGATGTTTTGTCGATTCGCAATGCTTTTAGAAAGAACGTTATATATGCAGAGTTTTATTTCTGCACTGCTTTTTACCAGCATCGAGGAATTTTATTTGGTATTTTAAAGTTAATATTAATATATATTCATTATCAAATATTTGATTACCAAAGTTTGAAATATTTGATTATTAAATAATAAATTTGATTTAAAAATATATTTGATTATCAAATATTTTTGTATCAAACTTTTTAATCAAATATTTTCATTATCACATTTGAATATAAATTTTACTTCCTGATTAATACTCAAAGAGTTTTCATGTTATACTTATAAGCTTTCTGTTAGTACAAGCAGAGGACTCTATGGTCAGCACATTAATTCACCTCCTAAAGTAATGCTCATTTTCCGAAAATCACTAATATAATAATTTCTTAGTGTAATTAAGTTCTAATTATATAATATTGGCCTTGAGTTCAAATTTATGTATAGTATTGTTGACGACTAGCACAGATATGCTGAACGAAATAAGAAGCCAAGAAGAAAGAAGTGCTCCAAGACTCAGTTGTAAGAGAAAAGGACTTTTGTGCAAATCGAAGTTTACGTTTTTGCAATAAATAAGATTGTATAACGCCAATCACATAATTAAGTAAATTTATTATGGGTGATATATTTTTCCAAATTTATAATGCACTGTTCGTTTTAAGCTCAACAGTTTATTTACATGTCTTGTCACTTAAGCTTTCTCCTGTTTTGTCACATATTGTAATATATTTTCATAATAAAGAATGGTTAGAAAACATAATAAAAATGTTTTTATTCAACATTCACCATCAGTACATGATGAATTGCCAGAGTAAGTGAGAATTAAGGATATTAACAAATATTTCTGACATACACCAAGCGATTATGTGGATGCTGAAATTCACCGGAAAATGTACACATCCTCCAGATTTTGGTCTTTCACGGTAACAGTATTATACCAAAGGTTGTTTTGTTTCTATTTATTTCTTAACAAATAAATGTCTTTAACTCATACTAGTTTCCTTGTTTATTTCATAAAACATAATACTATTGTAAAACTAAATATTAATACACTCTTTTCACTGATCATCTTTTCTGATTTCATACTTAATATATGAAAGTTCTCCGATACTTCATCCGCTTTTGCATGCTGTGTTACTGCCAATATCTAACTCTATGTTTTAGTAGCTGTTTAACATATTAAGTAACACGCTGCATCAGAACAATGCCAGCTATTCCCAGCTGTCTCTTGACGCCATCTAAAGCATCGTTTGGTGGTAGTAAATCAAATTTAACCACCTCGATCGCCCTCCCCTCTGGGGGTGTCAGAATTCGCATTCAATTATGGTAACTATTCACAGCTGGAAAGTAAAATGCAGCAAACTCGCTGGTAGATTTCTCGTGGTTGCACTACTCGCGGCTTTATTAAATTTATGCGTGAGCCCAAACAACATCAATTAATTCGTCATTTGTCGCATGTTAACGCAGAAAGTGACAGCCAAGGACGAATTTGATGGATGACCAACAATGTTGGTGTTGACGTTTGACTCATTAACAGAAAGCAAGAACTCTCTAGCGCATTTAAGAAGTGCCCTAATCTACTTTCAGGATGAAGAGGTATAACACTTATAAAAAATTGCATCAAAACTCATTATGACATGTTAAAGATACAAGTTATTACACATTGTTTGAAATACAGTTGCTTTAGATGCATGGATGGGATCTGACAGTCTGTAACTACAAGATGCTCTGCAAATATTGTCCTTTAGGACGTACATAAAAGAAAACCATTAACTTTTCATTATTTACATATTACTTTATCATTTATAATGCAAGCTTGAAGTGCTTACTCTTTCTTCAATACATTTTTAACTTGATCACATTCAAGTACTAACTTTTAAGGTTTAAGTACTTTGTTAGGCTACCTCCCAATTAGCGTTGCACTCCCGATGAAAATACTTCGGGAAAATGATTCAAATTAAATTTGCATTGCATCTGACAAATAAACTATAGTAAACTAACTAGCTTTTCCTTTTATACTTTTCTTGTGAAGCCAGATTTTTAAAAACCCTGGAATTTTATATTTTACCTTGAGAAGCGTATAGCAAATATAAAAAGAAACTACTTATTAAATGTATAAAACATTGCCCAGAGGTTTTCGCATTGTACGTTACGGATGCAAGGTTTGCCACTGACAGCTCTGCTGAGATAAACAAACCTTCATAGAAACAGAACTATGAAATCTAATAAAGTATTCTCCTTTCCTTTTAGCTCAACCTTTTAGGAGAGACGATGCTAAAAAAAGAGGGCCGTAACCTCGGAAATGAAATGAAATTAATAAAGGCCTAAAATTATCATTTGGTTGTTTAAATTTTAGTTCCATTTACGTCACCAACGTTATGTAAAAGTCATATCATATGGATTGATCAAGATATGACACAGTTTAGAGAAAGTTCTTATAAGCAATTACTGTTTCCAGAGTAGAGAAGGAAATGCCCAAATTAAAATAGAGAATTAAGGAATTATTGTTAATTTAAGTAATTATTTTGATTTAAATACATTTTTTTCATGCGATTTGGTCTGTGATTTTTCTTTTGATTAGATTGCTGTATGGAAAATTGATTCATTTACATAATTGTAAATATTTAATGCTTTATTTATCTTTAAACATACTTGTTTTCCATGTATCTTAAATTTAAAATCTTAAAGAAAACATATCTGTAGCAACACACTATCATTAAAGGAAGAAATGACAGTGCTTTCTTTAGGAAAAGTCTTCATTAACAAAGGTCACTTTTGCTGCGACAAGTAGCATATCAAGATATTAATCCAATATGATTCATGCTTCTAGCAATAAAACTTCACGTTGACTAAAAACAGACTTATTACATCGATCTTCTGTGAGTTAATGGCGTTTCGTTTTCTTTGTAAGCATA